GCTGTCTACGCAGCATTGCACGAATCTGGTGGGGTAGTCGGACAAACAATGCTGAGGTTGGGTGCAGAGTTTTGGGTATCCATGGTCAGCCACTGGAGCAAGTGGTTGACCTCCATAGATTACGTTAGTTGGGACATGTGTTATGTATGTCACCAAATAGTTTGCCACGGTGAGCAACCTTCGCCGAGGCAGTGATGGGTGCAATAAAGTCAAGAGTAGCCAATCTGAAACCTGGCACGAGGATATGAAAAGCCTAACCAGGAGTCTGGGTCAAGAGGTCTCGTTAGGCTTCCTGACTGCTGACCTCGGGATGATCGTACCCGATGGTTAGAGACACTGAATGATATTGCTGGGTGTCTTAAACAGTGGCGTTATTGCATCTTCTCAATTTCTTTGCAATCTTAGACCAATGAACTTCTCCATTTTCTGTTCGACTCTACCTTTAACTTTCCTGTCTTCTCTTGTTATTCATCCAAATGGGCAGCCAAAAGACATCAACCAAAACCGGCGCACGAAAATGCATGGTTCATGTTTGTTCAAACTGATATTGAAACCGTCGGTGTGGATCTATCCAGTTGAGACTACTGCAGTATCATTACCCTGGTTTGCTTTCCAGGTTTCTACTTTTTGCTTCCACTCCAAATGGGCAACAGAAAAATAGCAATCAAATCCATCACTTAAAAGTGCACGAATGATTGTTGTATAAACGGGACTAGACGAACACACCGTGTCACCAGTAATGAGTTCGGTCTGCTGGTAGTTGCTCCATTCTTTTTAATGTGAACGTGCTTGTATTACGCATATTTGGGCATCGATATGTATAAATTCCACAGGTTTCTGTGTTAGGGCAGACAACGTTTCGATGAAGAATGTGATCTTTTTTTTGATCTACTGGCTGGGCTCTCCGGGGATGTGAGGTTGCAATAAAGTTCCCGTTCTCTCTACACCCACGATCATCCAGCGAAGGATACTCTGACCACAGAGAGGGGGGGAGAGGAGTCACGCAACTACTCGGTCTACTACTAGAGCAGAATCATCTCTGTTGCAATTTGAAATTATAGCTCCTATATACAGTCCCGTTTTTAAACTTACCTGTTTCTCGTTATCACTTGTACAATACGGGATAGCGCGTGTGCAACAAGATATATTTATTCAAATCTTGTAATCAAAATTAATAGGAGCTCCAAATCTTCAGCATACACTCATCACAACGGGACCTATGTGACCGATTGTCCTGGTTAGGGTTTTCAAACTAAAACCGGGTGCACACACCAACTTATTCCCCGGAGGATGGGTGTTCTAATCCTACCAACCCCGCCTGCCATTCACTCTTTATGTGTTGTCTGGTAGCCTCTTGATTAGCGACTTCCCCTTTCCTGGAAATTGTATCATTGTGTATTCAATAAAAGGAAGTAACAATGAAAAATGAAGTTGCTCATTACCAACCATAGTTGGTGTGGATCAATTAGCGTACATCTAACAAGACGTCTCATTTGGTACGTATCGTTGAAATTCCCAGACCTACATAGGATAATGAATGAACAGTCCGCAGTTATCATTTTTTGAACACAGTAATTAGCTCGTTGAGGTCTTGTTCATTTCTGACCGTTGTGAGAAACCGCCAATCACATTCCTTTGCGCGATCTAACCATGCTGCTCACAAATGGGAGTAGGACTTCACAGCAACAGTACAAAAAGCAAAGAACCTTGAATCTACTAATGAGAGGTGGTTGTCCAAGACATCAGACTAGCGTTTTGAAGTCAGATAAAAATATGGTTGGCATCGAGTCCCAGATTTCTGTGACTACGACAGTGTTCGACTCTTGGGTGTCTAAGTTCGACCTACTCTGTCTAGAACGCAATTAGCAATTCTAAATTCCAGGCCGATTTTGTTGAGTTGCGTAAATAATTAAGTGGCTGTGCACTGCAGGCAGGTAATCAAGTCACAACTGTTTCTGACACTAGTGAATGGCACCAAGACCATTCATAGACTGAAAGCTCTCATGAATTCTTCTGTCTGATCCTATACTCTCTTTTCACCTACGGAAAAGCATGTCAGATCGATTGCCAAGATTGATTTTATGCTGTGTCCTTTGCGAACTCGTTGTTAATCGGATTTCGTGACTATGCGAGCGAATTTTCCACAAATAAATGTTCTCAATACGCACAGTTTGCATTACCAGCTTTCGTTGCATTCCTCGGATTCAGCTTTTCAGGTAGGTCAACGTTCAATATGCATAACAGAGCGTTATGTTGTTGTTTTGTGCTGAATGCACATACAATGCAATTTCAAACTCTATGAATAATCTCGGAAAATATTCATTGGAAAATTTGTTGCAATCACGCCTGTTTCTCTCGTTCTCTTTGGTTTCCCTAATTCTCCTATTTGGATGAAGATGCTCGCATCGTCTCAGAGCTGTTCGGATTTATCTGTCCATGGCATGACTCTGAGACGCAAAAGTAAAAAGTGAGTGACAGTTTCTAATCGATGTTTTACTTTTACCCCCACTCGTAGTTTCGTTTATTGTTTGNTGAGATACGCTTTTTGCGGAAGTTTAAATGGTTCTTTTATTTTGAAGAAAACCTTTTCGTTTTCACTTTGGTGGATGCTGTTTATACACCATTTTACTCCATCCAAATTTCTTGTGTTGTTTCCTGAACAAAGTGAGGAAATTATACCATTTTAAGATAGATTTGAGAAACTATAATTTTCATTTGGGAAACCGTCATTTGGAATTGAGAAAGAAACGCTGTGGCTTCCGTTTAGCGCACCCCATTGGTCAATTGATCATACATTTTTTCTACCCCCGGATTGACCACCTGTCTCCCCACACTCTTTCTGTGTTGAAATGAGGCCGACCTCAATCGTGCATCTTGTCGAGCTCTGTGACGGACGTCGAATCGGTTGGTCGGTGAAGCTCTGCTGTTCGCGTGGACCAACCAAGCTGGACGCCACTCGATATGCCCACTACAGCTAAAGTACATTTATTCGTAGTTGCCCTAGCATTGATGATAGCTCAATAATCAAAGCTGACCACACTAACTACGACCAGGGACGAGTTTTGTGCTTACGGTGCAATCCGAGCGATGTACGAGAATCATGGGCCTATTTGAATGAAAATGTTTATTCAGTGACAGAGGTTGGAGTTCTGGTGAGCATGGGTGAATAGGCTAACTGTCATCAATGGCCTAGCAACCAAAACCAGTTACACCTTAAGTGTAGCTCAGCCACAGAACTGAACGAAACAGAACGCAATCGATCAGTTTGGTAA